CATGCAAGCAGAGTGTGTAAGCCCCTAGAAGTGGATGGTTATTTACTTATGGCAACGGTCAACAAGGAAATTTTTTTACCTTGTGATTTATTAATGTCTGCAATGCTTCCTCATGGTTCCATAATCTACTGCGCCTCCCAAATTCCGTGCTACTTTCTTGTCGAACAATTTCTCGACCGAGGTCTCTAAGCTGGTCATGCATCCGCAGCTTGTTGTCATCACCAATCTTTATCATAGACATGAGACGAAGGACTTCAATACCTTCCTCTGGGAAATAATCAGCATCATCCCATAAGTGAACTACAATTCTCTTGTCAAATCCAATGAACAAACATGCTATGTCAAGAAAGATCTGCTTCTGCCAGTGATCTAGAGCATCGTAGCTTATCCTCAACTTTGTCCGAACCTCATCGCGAGGTACTTTTTCCAACTTTTTCAATGTGTCCTCCCAAACTTTTTTTATTTTGCCAGACAGAAAAGAACCTATGGTCTCAAGAGCTAAAGGAAGGCCTCCAGTGATGTCCACCACCTTATTCGAGTAAGCCAAATAATCATCAGGAGGCCAGTCCCTTCTGAATGCATGCCTACTGAAAAGTTGAATGGACTGATCTTCATCCATCCTTTCAAGTTCATATACCCAATCCACTTCAGGCACATTGAGCACATCTTTGTTTCTGGTTGTAAGAATGATCCTACTACCGGGACCAAACCAATTGCGCTTTCCCGCGAGCGCATTTAACTGAGCTCTCTTGTCAATATCGTCAAGAAGGATAAGAACTTCCTTACTGGAGAATCTCTCTTTGATCTTGTCGATGCCTTCATCAACATTAGCAATTTCTGGACCCTTCTTTTTAAGGATGTGTGAGATCAGTTGATTCTGCAAAAATTCGAGACCCCTGTTCTGTGATGTTTCTCTTACGTCTGCGAGAAAGCTACAGTACTCAAAACGACTTGAAAGCTGGTTAAACACGACCTTGGCAAGAGTGGTCTTTCCAATGCCACCCATTCCATGAATCCCAATGATCCTTACATCATTGGAACCCACATTCAGCATTCTCATGAGTTTATCCACGTGGTCATCGATTGCAACTAACTGGTCAGTTACATTCAAATGGTGCACCTTCAGGCTAACCAGAACTTTTCGAACTATTAACTCTATGAGTTTTCCTTCATGCCTGCATTATGTGGATAGTTGACGGCAAGAGAGATGAGAATAGTCCAATAAGACAGATCATCAAATTAAGACAAACAGAATTTCAGAGAATGAGTTGCCATTCTAGTCCATCCAGTCACTTAACAGTAAGATGAGGTTAAAAACTCTAGTTTGACACAAAGAAAATGACAATTTCAATAAACAGGAGTCGAGACTGAAATTCTGGTTGTACTTCTTTTTGGCGGATTCCCCAATTTTGTTTTGTGTCCTTCATTAAGAGAACTAAACTAAGATTCCAAATAGAATTCACAAGTAATGAAACAAATTAGTATCAAGGGCCTGAGAAAGTTACCCATTAGTGTCCTTTTCTAACTCCCAGCCTTTGATCTTTCCAACCTCCTTCAGAGCCTTTTCCCATTGGTGCACAAGATTGGGCTTATTCTTCTTCTTGTGTTGACGGAGGGCTTCTAAATATGGTCCCTTGTTCAGCTTTACTTCTGACGGATCCGCGTCATAGAATACGGGCAGAATTTCCAGCCCAGTTAGTTTACTGCATTCCACCATCTGTGCCAACTCGCGCAGGCACCATTCACTCTCTGCATAGTCTTTAGAGAAGATGGGTATGCATATCTTCGAGTTGTTGATTGCTTGGAGTAGCCAACTGATCCTCCCTCCAACTGGGAGCTCATCATTGTCTCTGAAAGCACGGATTCCGGCATCCATAAGCCCATGATAGAGGCAATCCACAAATCCTTTGCGTGAATTTGGGCCTCTGAAGCTCAAGAAAACTTCATACTCAACCCCCGGCAAATCTGTAGAGCTATAAGATGATAGATCAGAACTTTCCCCTGTATCTGAATAACTGCTTAGCAGTCCTTTTCTCTGATAAGAATCTTCATGAAACCTGTTGCTCCGATAAAATTTCTTTTGCCAAAATTGTGCCGGAAGAGCACGAAGAGTTTCCCGGATGTGTACCTTCAGGGTTCTACGATCAGATCTCTGAAAAGCTTTCCTGGGAGCAAATGGGTAATGAATACCAGAATTAGGAATAAGGGGTCTACCATACACTTGATTAGGGGTCGGAAGATTTACAATTGCTTTGCACATCATGATGAAGATGTACCAGAACTAAAACAGGTGAGGAGAAATTGTGATCCTTATATGAACAGGCCAAATGAATGATATGTTTGATGGAGTCCACGGCTGATGCTGCTAAACTCCCTCGTATATCTTTCTAAAACCTAGTTTTAATTGGTCACACCGCCAGAATTCAAATTATCTGTCTTGATCACCAACACAACACGGTCTAGACCTTCCGAACCAATAGCAGAGATTCGTGGGGACGAAGTTTTAGGATTTCTAACAGTCAACTCACCGAATGGTTGCTACTCTAACTACATTTCTAAAAATTTTCCTCCAAATCTCTTAATAAAATTTCCCTTATAATGTAGGCCTCGAAAATGACATTGGCTTTATCCATTTGCATAGTCACCAGACGAGAAAAATTAGGAGGATCTCAACAGTAAAACCTTCTAGCGCCCCCTTTTCACCAACAACCTGCTGAAAAAAGCCTGCCCCAGAATCTGTTGAACTGATATACAACATGACTTTTCTTTCTACTTTCCCGAAATCTACCTCGCAATACATCATATGGGATTTGACTTTAAGTGAGAGAGAGAGAGAGAGAGAGAGAGCAAATGTTTACTTTTTTCCCATGATTACTTGTTCAAACCAACTACTTCAGCCAAACCCAACTACCTTTCCTAATCACTGTATCGGAAATTTCATGCGCAACGTTCAAGAATTTTCTAAAAATGCAATTTCCTCAGACAAGTCAGATACTAGGAACACGATTGATTTTCAATTCTTTTTGAGAAAGCAATAAAAGAATGTCTCCCCAACCATCTCCGCAAGCAAACATGTCTCAACTGTACGTAAAACAAGGGAAACTTCGCTTCAGATGCTTCCGACGTGGGAACAACATGGACTATAAATTCAATATTCTCGGACTCTTTGACTTTACAGCATAGCCCAATCCCAAGAAGCAATCCCGCAATCCAAAGAAAGAATCAGTCTTGAATGAGGCCCGGCGTGGAGACTTCGGAAATTTCCCTGGAAACAGTCGCGATCTTCCAAACTCCATGCTCGAATTTGAGAGAGATAGGGGGCAAATCGCTGAAGCACTGCCAGTTTACAAGACGAAGGAAGCTCAACGAGAGGACCAGCTGAAACCCATCATTGCCTGCGCGCTTGATAGAGGTGAGCGGTTTCCGATCCGGTCCGGTGCAATAGGAATCGGACTGGGAGGATCGATTCCCAGTTTCTAGGACCGGAGACCGGACCGGCTCGTCTTGGGATCATGGATCGGTTCCAGTAGGACCAATCATTTATTGGTAAAGGCAAGAGGGAATTGGGGAAATCAGATTAGACTTTCTATTTTTTAAAAAAATAAATATATGAAAAAATTTAAAAAATATATATATATTTATCGGTCCAGTCCGATTCAATTCTCACCCTAGAACCGGGAACCGGACCGCTTGGAAACCGGGTTTACTTTTAGGAACTGGGAACCGGACCGATATTCTCGAGAACCGGACCAAACCGGTCGATCCAGTCCGGTCCGATCCTATCGCGATTTGGACAGTCTATCTTGCTCACCTCTAGGGCTTGATAGGAATTTTTCACATCACCATGACCAGTTCACGATGAATTCGAATTGAAGCCGAAATAAGCTTTTCTTCATTCTCTTCAAGCGGACGTCATCTAAGTTTCAGTTTGACAAGTGGATAGATAGGAGGAAAATAAAATAAAATAAAAAATTGAGAAAATTCCAATTTTGCCGGACATAGTTTGGGATTGTTTCTAATTTTTAAATAAACAAAACCATTTCCGCCCAAAAAAATAATAAACAAAACCATATTTTAACCAAACTTTTAAATGGAAAGAAATTACGGATTAAATACTGAAAGAAAACAAATTTAAATATAGAGAAAGAATAAAAAAATAGGGATTTGAACTCTTTCAGGATGGTTATTTTAGGATAAAAAAATTAAGTTATAACAATAAAATATGTGAGAGATTAAAGAGAATTATTATGATTCACACATTTGCCCATAAATTCAATACTTGCAAAACAAATGTTTTGGGATATTTAGGGGGGGGGGGTTATAAATTATAATCCTTTAAAAATAGAAAACCGTTTTTTTTTACTTCATAAAGTAGCGTCATATAAAGGATGGCGAGCATGACATGTCATTCCCCTAATAATGCCCTTTAAGATTCACATATTGTTTCTTCAATTACGCCAAACCAGACAAAGATAATTTAATTAAAGAAAATAGAGGATGCAATTGAGATTACCCATGATAGTCGGTCTATATTAGGATAGACCCTAATTCTAAAGGGAGCGGAGTCATGTAACTTTCATCAGGACAACTGATGAATCGCGCAACTTGATTATCCAAGGCAACATATTTTCACTAAGGGATCAGAAACCACAAGCCATATAAATCATCAACCAATGGATCTACTAAAGAAAATGACTGATTTATCCGTAGAGCCTCACATCTCATTTAAATGTGAAGGCCATATGGATTATATTTAGATCTAACAAAAGACTTGAGTCCTGTAATATGTAACCAGGCAGGCAAGGTACCATAGGCTCATATGATATTATGTGCACAATCTGAACTTATATATAGTAAAATAAATTATTTCATTATGTCAACGATCCTGTTGCATCTATAGCTGAACAAATATGGAGGACACTATCTTTAAAAGAAAGAAAGAAAGAAAGAAAACAACGTTTGAGTGCTTTCTTCTTGCCTACTTTCCTGCACAAACAGCTCACCATTGGTTAATTTGAAGAAAATAAAGCTGTGTCATGCCTAGAAAAAGTTATCTCCTTTGATGGATCTCAGGATCCCAAGACCTACAATTTCACGTATCTTTTCACAATCTTCAATGTACAGAGATTTCAGGCTTTTGAAGCTCGATAGGTCTAGCAACTTTTCTATAGATTTGCAGCCAATAATCCTCAAGTTCTCCAAGGACTCTAACTGGTCAAGGCCTTCAATGTCGCTTATCTTCTCGCAGCTCTCGATCTCCAAGTCTTTCAGCTTCTTCAAGTTTGACAAGTTTGGTAGTCTCTCCAAGGATCTGCACTCCGAAATCTTCAATTCCTCCAGGGATTCCAATCTGTCAAGCTCTCCAATCTCCTTGATCTTATCACAATTCTCAATTTCCAGAACTTTCATCTTTTTCAAGTTTGACAAATCAGGTAAACTTCCGATGGATCTGCAGCGGGATATCTGCAGTTCTTCCAATAACTCCAATTTATCAAATCCTTGGATCTCAAGCAACTTCTCACAGTCTCGCAGCTTAAATTCTTTCAGCTTCTTCAAGTTCGAGAGATTGGGTAATCTGTCAAGGGACTCACAGTTACGTAGAACCAAGCGCCTCAGGGATTTTAACCGTTCAAGCCCATCAAGCTTTTTCAATTTGCAGTATATCACATAAAAAACGTGAAGTGACTCCAAACCTTCAATGCCCCGAATCTCTGAAATAGCCGAGTGAAGGAGCTCCAACTCTGACAGATTTCTCAAGTTTGAAAGATCAGGAACAATTGTCATAGACTTGCAGTTGCCTATATATAGTGTAGATAAGCTAGAGGGGAGTTGAATAAAGGATTGCAGATCTACGCAGGACAATACCAGTTTCTTGAGTCGATAAAGCAAACCCATATTTGCTGGTAATGTAGTGATTTTCGAGAGAGAAAGCTGCAATGTCTCCAATTTGGATAACATTCCAAGCCACATAGGGTTAGGATCTTGGACCAGCTTGGTTGGGTCATTGGTGGGAAACCCCTGCAGATGAGAGCCATCGGACAAATACAATTGCCTCAGATTAATCAGATTGGAGAGATCTGGGATTTTCTCCGTTGACTGAGAACTAACTCGTAGATTAATCAAACTACTAGGAAGCTCTGGAAGCCCTTTAAGCTCTTTGCATAACTCCAAATCAAGGGTCTGCAGAGGAGAGAGTCTGCAAATAGTTTCTGGTAACCTACGAATGCGATTATCTGATAATCTCAAGATTCTCAGGTATACAAGTTCCCCTATATCACTAGGAATGTCACCCTCCAGGTTGCAACCCTTGGCATGTATCTCCTCAAGCTTTTCCAGCATCCCAATAACAACTGGTATTTGCTCCATGTAACTTCCCTCGACTATCAACACTTTCAGGTTCCTCAAATTGCTTATCGGATCAGGCAACTCAGTTACCCCTGTGTTGGATAGATCCAGCTCGACCAATGACTCTAGTTGCCCGACGGTGTCTGGAAGTCTGTTTATTGACCTACAACCTTTCAGAGATAAGCGCTCAAGTTTCACTAGCTCTCCAATAGAGTCTGGGAGATGAGTGATTTTTGCATTATCTAATGCAAGGTATGTGAGAGATTCCAGCTGGCTGATTGAGCTTCTAATCTGGCTCAATGACTTACAATCACGAGCACTAAGAGTTTCGAGCTTCTTCATACCTCCAGGCATCATAAAAATTTCTTGTACAGAGGTTCCACCAAGAATGAGCTCTGCCAAAGCTTCCATAGAGCCCAACTTTTCAGGCAACTCTTGGATCGAATGGCAGTCCTTCATGTTTAATGAAATAAGATGCTTTAAGCCACCAATGGATGCATCGATTCCCACTAAACTTTCACAGCCTTCAAGAATCAATATCTCGAGAGCTCCATAGGGAGAAAAATCAGGGTTCCTGTATAAGCACGTACATCCCGTAAGATTAAGAACCTTTAGGTTCTTCGACATCTGCAAGAATAACAACAGTCAGCAATAAAGACATAGTTACAATGAAATATGGAGCCATGAATAAGATCACAGGAGTCATAAGGCATGTCCTACCTTGATTTGATGCCAGCCCTCCCAATATTCACTGATCTTGCTCCAAGAGAGATCAACTATGACTAGATTACTCAGATAAAAATTGGTAGGCAAAAAATTTGAAGGGCAATAATGCCAACAAAGCCATCTTAACTGAGGAAGCAGATTTTCAAAATTACCAGCGAGGTTCATGCCATTGACCTGGAGGAACCTTAAGTTTGTAGACATGAAAATTCAACTCGAGTGAGATAGTACTGTGACTTGCTATCAAACTTAAGACAGAGGGCTTGAACCATTTCAGTGCCCTACAAATGCAACAAAAAACAGAATAAGTACAAAAGCCACAATAATACTAGGTATAGATCAGCAAATAGCTTGTTCCTAGTTTAGAGAATTTTAAGGAGGCCATTAGTAAAAGCTCGTAACAGCATTCAACATTATGCAAGCAAAGCAAGTAAGCTCCTAAAATGAATGGTTATTTCCTTCCAGTAATGGTCAAAGAGGAAATCGCTTTACCTTGTTATGTATTAATATCTGCAATGCTTCCTCATGGTTCCATAATCTACTGTGCCTCCCAAATTCCATGTTACTTTCTTGTCGAACAATTTCTCGACCAAGATCTCTAAGCTGGTTGTGCATCCACAGCTTGTTATCATCACCAATCTTTATCAGAGACATGAGACGAACGACTTCAATACCTTCCTCTGGGAAAAAATCAGCGTCATCCCATAAGTGAACTACAATTCTCCTGTCAAATCCAATAAACAGACATACTATGTCAAGAAAGATCTGTTTCTGCCAGTGATCTAGAGCATCGTAGCTTATCCTCAACTTTTTCTCAACTTCATTGCGAGGAACTTTTTCCAACTTCTTCAACGTGTCATCCCAAACTTTTTTTGTTTTCCCAGATAGAAATGAACCTATGGTCTCAAGAGCTAAAGGAAGGCCTCCAATGATGTCGACAACCTTTTTTGAGTAAGCCAAATAATCATCAGGAGGTCTCTTCTGAATGCATGCCTACTGAAAAGTTGAATGGACCGATCTCCATCCATCCTTTCCAGTTCATATGCCCAATACAGTTCAGGCACATTGAGCACATCTTTGTTTCTGGTTGTAACAATGATCCTACTACCTGGACCAAACCAACTGCGCCTTACCGCGAGCGCATTCAACTGAGCTCTCTGGTCAACATTGTCAAGAAGGATAAGAACTTCCTTACCTGAAAATCTCTCTTTGATTGTGTTAATGCCTTCATCGACATTAGTAATTTCTGGACCCTTTCTTTGCAGGATGTGTGAGATCAGTTGATTCTGCAAAAATTCGAGACCCCTGTTCTGTGATGTTTCTCATACATCTGCGAGGAAGCTACAGTACTCAAAACGACTTGAAAGCTGGTTGAAAACAACCTTGGCTAGAGTGGTCTTGCCAATGTCACCCATTCCGTGAATCCCCATGATCCTTACATCATTGGAACCCACATTTAGCATTCCCATGAGTTCATCCACGTGATCATCAATGGCAACTAACTGGTCAGTTACATTCAAATGGTGCACCTTCAGGCTAACCAGAACTTTTCGAAGTATTAATTCTATGAGTTTTCCTTCATGCCTGCATTATGTGGAGAGTTGATGGCAAGAGAGATGAGAATACTCCAATAGAAAGATCATCATAATAAGGAAATTGGAATTTCAGAGAATGAGTTATGCCATTCTAGTCCATCCAGGGACCTGATAGTAAGATGAGGTAAAAAACTTTAGTTCCAAACATGTCTTATTACTATCGATGGATACAGACACAAAAAAAGGACAATATCAATAATCATAGACAAGAATGAAATTCGTTCTACTTCTTTTTTGCAGATTCCCCAATTTTGTTTTGTTTCCATGATTAAGAGAGCTAAACCAAGGTTCCAAAACGAATTCATAAGTAATGGAATAAAATAGCAGCCAGCGCCTGAGAAAGTTGCCCATTAGTGTCCTTTTCTAACTCCCAGCCCTTGATCTTTTCAACCTCCTTCAGAGCCTCTTCCCATTGGTGCACAAGGTAGGGCTTCTAAGTATGGTCCCTTGTTCAGCTTCACTTCAGATGGATCCACATCGTAGAATAGGGGCAGAATTTCCAGCCCAGTTAGTTTACTGCATTCCACCATCTGTGCCAACTCGAGCAGGCACCATTCACTCTTTGCATAGTCTTTAGAGAAGATGGGTATGCATATGTTTGAGTTCTTGATTGCTTGGAGTAGCAAACTGATCCTCCCTCCAATGGGGAGCTCATCATTGTCTCTGAAAGCACGGATTCTGGCATCCGCAAGCCTGGTATAGAGGCAATCCACAAACTTTTTGCGAGTATCTGGGCATCTGAAACTCAAGAAGACTTTGTACTCGACACCCGGTAAGTCTGCAGATCTATAAGATGGTAGATCAGAACTTTCCCCAGTATCTGAATAGCTGCTTTGAAGTCTTTTTCTCCGATAAGAATCTTCATGAAACCTGGTGCTCCAATCAAATTTCTTTTGCGAACATTGTGTTGGAAGAGCACGAAGAGTTTCCCGGATGTGTATCTTCAGAGTTTTACAATTAGATCTCTGAATAGCTTTCCTAGGAGTAAATGAATAATGAAAACCAGAATTAGCAATGAGGGGTCTACTGTACACTTGATTAGGGGTTGGAGCATTTGCAATTGTTCTGCATATCATGATGAGATGATACAAGAATTGAAACAGGTGAGGAGAAGTTCTGATCCGTATATAAGCTGGCCAAATGAATGATACGTTTGATGGGAGTCTTCAGCTGAGAAGGCAGCTGAGCCCCTTGCATATCTTTCCAAAACCTTGTTGCAGTTTTCCACACCACCAGAATTCAAGTATTAGTTTAGTTGATGATAGTCGTTAAAACCAAGATGGGAGCTGCAAGACTTCTAATTATTTGTCTGGATCACCATCACAACGATGTCTCGACCTTCTGGACCAATAACAGAGATTCTTGGGGACTAAGTTTTAGTATGCTCAGCTGTCAACTCATCGGTTGACCCGGTAACGACACTTCTAATACGTCTCCAAATGTCTAGAAAATTTCCCCTACAATGTCGCTCTCGAAAAAGACATTGGCCTATCCATTTGCACGGGTCACCAAACAAGTACAAAAAGTAGGATCTCCACAGTAATACCTTTTCGCACCCCATCTAGAAGAAGTTTGCTCTGTCTTTTGAAGCCTCCTTTCCACAAACAACTTGCAGAAAAAGCCTGCCCCAGAATCTGTTGAACTTATTCGCAACATGACTTCCTTTCCACTTTCCCAGAATCTGCCTTGCAATACACTATGTGGGATTTGACTTTGACAGATACGATATAGACGAGAGAGAGAGAGAGAGACACACACACACACAAATTGTTTAATTTCCCATGATTACTTGTTCAGACCAATTACAAACCCAACTTCCTTTCTTAAAAATTGTGTTGAAATTTAACGTGCAGTGTTCATAAATTTTAAAGATATGCATGTTTCTCGGACACATCAGATACTTGGAACACAATTAAAATTCAATTCTTTATGAGAAAGCAACAAAAAAAATGTCTCCTCAATCATTTGAAAGCGAAGACTTTTAACCGCAAAAAGAAACTTCGCTTCAGATGCTTCCGACGTGGGAACGTGGACGATCATAGAATAGATCTGAATCTTGGACTTTACATCATGCACGAATCTGTCTTGAATGAGGGCGGTGTGGAGAATTGGGAATTTTCCCGGAAACCGTCGCGATCTTCCAAACTGGGACGGCTCTTCCATGCTCGAGTTCGAGCGAATCACTGAAAATTCAGTGCATTGCCAGTTACAGGACGAAGGAAGCTCGACGAAAGGACCGACCGAAACCATCATCGCTCGAAGGTTGTCCCGACATCAGCACGACCAGTTTACGATGCATTCGAATTGCAACTGAAATCATTTTTCTTCATCCTTCTTTCTTTTCAAGTGGAAGGAGGAAAATAAAAATAAATTGACCATTTATTTTGTGAAAAATTTTATCTTATTTTCTAGCGTTTAGATTGCTTCACAAAATGAGTTTAAGGAAAAATATTTTTCTAGTTAAGGAAAAATCTTAAGAAAATGGGCCAAACTCTAATGCCCAGGTCCTCAATGCTCAAACCCAGTCCATTGAGGTTGGGCTCGGGACTTCTGTGCATGTGCCTGGGTCTCGGCACCCGGACGTTGGTCCATCGAGGCCGGCCAAGACCCCAGTGCCCGTTCTCGAGTCCTCGATGCTCGGGTTCATAAATAGCGAGACTTGGGCTCGAGTCCATCCCGTCAGTGATACTTTGGGATTGTTTTGATCAACAAAATTATTATTTTTTTCGAAATTTCCAAATGATGAAATAATAAAGAAAATCATATAAAATTAATATACAATACAAAAAAATCGTATTTACATATATTTCAAGATTTGAAATTTTTTTAAGAAGCTTATATAAGGATAGAAAAGAATTAAATTATAGCATTGAAATATGTGAGAGATTAAAGAAAATTATAATTCACACATTTGCCCATAAATCCAATATTGCAAAATAAATAATATAGGATATTTAGGGGACATAAATTAAATTCCTTTAAACATGAAAGATGTTTCCTACTTTATCCTAGTGAGGTTGATTCGTAGCATGACAAAATCTAATGCATGTGGCCAAGCATGAGGAATTCAAGTGACTGCTAAATTAGTTGTGTTTCACCTGGTATAGGATTTTACCCCAACAGTAAAAAATCTTTCATCAAAGATTAATCTTTGATTTTTGACGAAGTGAATTCTGTGGTAATTTTAGATAGGAAGTCTGTGGTGTGTTTAAGGGAAAAATAAAATACAAGGATTATAAAATACGTGTGCGAAGTGAAACGACTAGAAAACTAAAAGACTAGAAATTAGTACATATATAAAAAATATTGGAAACTGTAAAATCAATCATGGTGATCGTGCCGTTACACTATCATGGGTATCTATAGCCCACTAATTACAACCACTTAAAAACAATTATTATTCTAAATACAGATTTTTTGGGAAAAGTGTCAAAAAAGTCCTAAACCTTTTGCATTGGTACAAATTTAGGCCTAAACATTTTTTTGGTGCCAATTCAGTTCTAAACATTTTATTTTTTTGCCAATTCAGTCCTTTCGATTAATTTTGGCAGAATTTTGGTGACGTGGACGCCGGCCGGCCTACGTGGCATCGCTAGCGCTGATGTGGACAATTTTTAATAATATTTTAATAATTGTTGATTTTTTAATTATTTTTTTTGATTTTTTTCCTTTTTCCTTCTTTTCTTTTTTGGCTTTCTTCCACCTTTTTCCGGTGACCGGCCACTTACCACCGGCGATGGCCGACCACCGACCATGGCTAGCCGGGCTGCCTCGCCTGGGTGAGGGTCGACCTCGCCTGGCCAGGCAACGCCCGGCGCGGCCTGGGCGAGCCCCGGCGAGGGCTCCCTTCGCTAAATTTGGCGAGGCCGCCGTGGCTTGGGCCAGGGCCGGCCTCGCCAGATTTGGCCTGGGCGAGGCCCTGCTAGATCTGGCAAGGGGAGCCCGGCCATCGTTGGTGGCTGGTCACCGGAAAAAGGTTGAAGAAAGCCAAAAAAGAAAAGAACGAAAAAGGAAAAAAAAATCATAAAGAATAAT